CTGTGGCCTGGTGCAGATATCACAGGACAGTGCAACATCAGCACCTGAGGAGCTGAAGTGCTTAGGTTCTTGAAAACGCCACAAACACAAAGGTATAAAAAAGTTTAGAAGAACTCAGGATTTGTTCAGAAGTTTGTGTGATGCCCCTGCTATTGGAGACAGTGGAAGAAATTACGTCTTCTGCTCGGCTCACAGTTCAGAACCAGCTCTGCCATCAAGATACCTCTGTTGAGAAGACAAGTGAAGTCAGCCCTGGCAGAGGAAGTGTAGCTTGCTGTGGACAAGCAGGGAAGGGTATCAGTCAATAAGAGGTTGGTGGTGAGACGCAGAGAATAGAGTCAGGGGAGCTCCTGTTCAGAAAAACAGGCAGTGACTCCTTGGCATTTGGTTGTTGGGATGGGAAGACCACACAGAATATGGATTTACCTTTGGTGTCTGTGGTTATGAAAGAAGAAACAGGACAGTAAGGAGTCTAAAGCCCCAAGAAGTTTTTTTTCTTTTTTCGAGACAGGGCCTCATTATGTAGCTCTAGAACTCATTGTGTAGACCAGGTTGGTCTCAAACTCACAGAGATCCTCCTGCCTCTGCCTCCCGAGTGCTGAGATTAAAAGTGTGACCGCTGGGTCTGGCTGTAGGAATTTTTAACCAGAGTCACTGGACAAGGACAGCTGTAGCAGTAATGCACAGGGCCCTGCTGGGCACTGATGGGTAGATGAACAGTTGTGTGAACAGGGTGCCAACCCTGCAAAAGATTCCTCCATGAGCAGCAGGTACAGCTGAGAATAAGACAAACAGAATCCCTGCCTTCTGGAACCTCATGTTTCAGTGATAAATGAGGTGCTGACCAAAATCACCAATTGTGTAAGGACAGTAGAACAGCAACAGGGGGGTGTAGTGGGCTTTAAAGGGGCACCCATTAGGCCAGGGTAACCCAAGAAGGCCTCCCCTTTGTGCTGCCATCAGAGCCGACCTGAATGGCTTGAAGCTGCAGCCAGAGCATGCGTAGATCTGCAGGCAGGTTCAGGCAGAAGAGAAAAGGGGTACCTAGGTCTGAGCTTGGAGTGAGGCTAGAGCATGGTGAACAGGGAGAGTGAAACGGTTCACAGAGGCAGGATCATGCCGGACCTTGTAGTTCTCGGAACCTTAGTGAGATAGGTGTAATGGCGGTGTGCTTGTCCCAGGTAGGAGCCGCAGAAGAATAAGACAGGGGCATTGGCAGTGGTTTCGGCAAGACATGGCACTGGCTCTGATCATGGTAGAAGCAGAAAAGCTATTGAATTTGCAGTTTATTTAAGTCATTGATTGATTCTGAAGTCTGGCTACACAGTAAGAACTCCTTAGAGAGTCTTTAAAGTACTGGTGCCTGCCTCCTGCCCTCAAGGGTTCTGCTTTAATCGGGTTAGGGGCAGAGCTCTAGGTATTGACACACTTGAAAATGCCCCTGGGCCCCATGAATTACCAGGGCTGAGGGAAGCTAACAAATGGAGATGGGTCATAAAGAAAACCTTCATCCTAGGAAGGAACAACTGTAGGTGCTAGTGGCACTTGTTGCATGAGAAAAACTAGTGAGGAACCAAAGCTTCTTTGTGACAAAACTGCCATGTATGTATTAGGTGCAAGCAGAGATGTTAGATGAGCCAGGCAGGATGGGAGGGTGGAAGATGGACTCTCTGTTGTCTAGAAGGCTTAGAAGGCTCAGCTGGATGTCACCAGGAACCTCCTGCTGGCACTTGGGCTGCTCTCACAAACCTGTGCTTTCCTCCTTACTTCAGGGAAGCTTCTCCGGGGACCTCCTCAGGCAGCCCTGCAGCTGAATTTTTCCTGATTTTTACCTTGCTTTGTGGCTCAGCTTCCAATTCTAAGTAGCAGTCTTAGGTTTCTTTCCTGTTGCTGTGATCAAATGCCCTGACAAAAGCAATTTGGGGAAGAATTTATTGTAGCTCAAAGTTGAGGTTACAGCTTATCATAGCAGGAAAGTCAATGCAGGAGCCTCTTGAAGTGTCCTTCCGCAGTCAAAAGCAGAGAGAATAAATGAGTCTATGTGTGCTTTGCTGAGCTCACTTTCTCCACTCTTGTACAGTTCAAGACCCAAACCCAGGGAGTGGTGTTGTCTGCTTTGGACCAGGTCTTCCTCTGTCAATTAAAGCAATCAAAAGTTATCCCTCTCCCCCAGACGTGTTCAAAGGCCAATCATATACAGACTGTCCCAAATTGAGACTCTTTCCGGTGATTCTAGACTGGCACTGAAAATTTTCCATCACAATAGGCAAGAGCCACAGTCCTGTGCCCCAAGTCGCCCCCCATAGATTTAAGTGGAGAATCTGTCCTGTAACTGCAATGTGTGCGACAAACGTTTCAAAGCATGTGCTGTGTACAAGCCCCATTGCAGGATCTTCATGCCTCTGCCTGAAGCACGCAATGATTTATGAAAACCCATGTGTGTAACGGTGAAGTGGAGCTGTAGAAATGGGGCCAGGAGGGTACCACCTGGGCACCCTAGCTCCTGGGAAACGTAGTCTGGAGTCCAGAACTCAGGTCAAACACAGATCAATTTGGGACTTCTTGTTAATCAGCAAATGGAGTTCTGGGGAGTTTTCCTAATGGAGAGATAATGATTTGTATCTCAGGAGTGCAGATTGTCTATAATTTGGGGGGAACAGCTTATATCCTGATTTTATAAGCAATATTTACATTGTATGTCATTTAGGTTAACACTGAGGGGGTGGGGAGGAAGCCGGTAGAGAAGAGGAGACGGGAGAAAAAAAATATCATGGTCTCCCACTAGATAATACTGCACCCTTCTAACTTGGACCTTTTCACTCCATGTGTAACGGGAGCAGTTCAGCCATGATGCTTTCTGGACCGTTCATCAGTTAGTTGTTGACTCTGGCACAGCAGTCATTGAGTCCACACAGTCAGGGGAAGAAGAGACTGCTTCCAAGTGTGTGAGAAGCAGAAATGGTACCATTTGCAGTTGGGGAAGAGATGCTTTTCAACAGAGAGAAAGAACAGCTAGACTGAGGGGCATGAGGACTGGAAGTGTCCAGTGAGAGCGGGCCATGCTGGTGGTTGGTCTCGCCGTGGGCTGTTCTTGCCCGCTCTGAGGTTGTACTGTCACCCACAGCACTTTTCTGTGTCCTGGAAATCCACATGAACTCACCCTGCGTTATCTCCCCGGCTCCAGGGTGTATCACTGGTGTAGATGTACTAAAGCTGGGAATCCACATGAACTCACCCTATGTAATCTCCCCAGATCCAGAGTGTATCACTGGTATAGATGTACTAAAGCTGGCAGAGTTCCCACATTGGTTCTCTAACCTGTGTGTGGAATAAGGGTTGGAAAGGCCAAGTGGTGTAGTAGAAGTGGAGCAGGTCCTTTGTTTCGTCCGCCAGGATCCCTGTTGCCTGGCTAGCTTAGCCCCCAAAATAACTACACAGAAATTGTATTCATTTAAATACTGCCTGGCCCATTACCTCTAGCCTCATATTGGCTAACTCTCACATATTAGTTTAACCCTTCTCCACTTGTATCGCCACTTTACTGTGGCTTACCAGCATGAGTCTAACCAGCGTCCATCTCGGGCAGGAGATTCCCAGCATTCTGTTCACCAAAGTAGAAGCCATTGGATTCTCCTCTATCAGAGAAAATAGTGAACCAAAACCAGTATTACATCTCTGGAGGAACTGCAGAAATTAGCACCACCATCAAGGACATGAGAGATACAGGAGTGGTGGGTCCCACCTTATTGTCCTTTAGTTGCTCCTATTTGGCCTGTGCAGAAGACAGATTGTGGAGAATGACAGTTGCCTATCACAAACTCAGTCAAGTAATGATTCTGATTGCAG